ACACGCACACACACGCACACACACACACACACGCACACACACACACACACACACACACACACACACGCGCACACACATACTGTACACACACACTCATTACACACAGTCACCAGCTGAGGGAGCGTCTGAGCGCTCGTGTGCTCCTGAACACCTGCTTCACTCAAACACTCATGCTAATGTTTAACTACTAAGAGCTAACAAATCACTCACCATTACCAAAAAAACAAACAACCAGACAGTACTCTGAGGACTGACGGAGGTAAACTGATGTAAAATAAGTATGGAAGTAGATTTCCTTTCAATAAAATGCCCATTTAACAAACTGTGTAAACAATAAATCATGTGTTTTTTTACTACACTACAGTACTCAATGACACAAACTGAAGCAAAAGCATTTCAGTTCAGCATTAAGCATTTCCTTAGTTATAAACACAAGAGCCGGACTCTACTGCCGAAAGATAGAGGAAGGAAGGAAAGAAGCAACGCATCTTTTTCACAGGAACGTAATGCACTTTGACAGACAGACAGATATTGATCTCCTTCATCTCAATCTCATATTTGCATGATAGACTGTGTAAAATAACTTAATGCCCTTTTTCTGAAATAGCGTGATTTATTTTAACCTTGCTTTCCATGTTGCATTACGACTGCAGGCAGCATCACTATGTTCTGTCAAGAATGCAATATTTATAGACAAATGTACTGTTTGCTAGGGCTGTGCGATTAATCGAAATCGTCATAAAATCACGATTTGAGCGAGCACGATTTTCCGCGCCCCCGACCTCCCGCAGTATGCTATCCGAACCAATCAGAATGCAGCGTGCCTAAATGGAGCACAAGAACAGAACAGACCAGGCGGGCATACAAACGTAACACACACTCCGTCTGTGGTGCGTATTTTTTCCGCGCCCATGTTAATGGATCAGAGCGTTCACACTGCACGCGATTGCGGTCCGGCAGTGCGCTCCAGGAGCGGTGCGTCTGCAGCAGTGCAGCGATCGTTTCCGCAAGGAGTCTATTTCTGCTGTGCTGCACGCGCTGAATTAGTCACAAAATTGATCAAATAAATCGCGATAGGTTTTTTTTGTCCATATCGCACAGCCCTAGTGTATGCTGCATTTATTTAAATGAGTTGTTCTGGGTGACTGTTAGACATGTTATATATTAATCGATTATTGATTTTAGGATATTAAGTAAAGATCATGTTCCATGAAGATATTTTGTAAATATATATATATATATATATATATAAGTCATACTGTTTTAGCCAAGCTCTGCTGCTGAACTGGAGGAGGTCTCACCGATCTGTGCGTTGTCATACAGCAGCAGGTCGTAGGCACTCTGGTATCCGGTGCGGTAATTCGTGCGAGTGCCGCTGTCCCACTGCACCACCACAGTTTTGTCGGGCGTAGTGGTGCTGCCCTGCCGGCCGATCTCCACCACCGTGCCCACGTGCCCCTCTCCTTCATCCTGGTTCCCCCACTTCCAGTCCAGGCCGCGCACCACGCGCATGCCCACCTCCATGCTGCCGCGCACCGGCTGCCCGCTGTGGCCCTCGCTAGGCTTGCGGTGCGCTCGCGGGACGGGGGTCACTGCCTGGGCTCGAGGCGCTGGGAGCGGGACGGTTCTGAGTAGGGCGGTCTCTGGAGACAGATCAGGGGTGACTGAAAGCACAAACAAGGACAGAGAAAATCAGCGTACAATCATTCAGAGAACACACACTCAAACCAAGACAGAGTCTTTCACATAATCAAGTCTAAGGTACTCGTATAGCGCTTTTCACATCACACATAGTTTTACAGAAAGCTGTACTGTTATGTCAGTAATGCCTTAGTGCTTTAAAGGTGACATATCATGAAAATCTCACTTTTCCAGGTTTTAAGTGCTATAATCAGGTCTCTGGTGCATCTAGCAACCAAGGAAACATGAAAAAGATTAATCTAGTAACTTTGTTTTGGTAAGCCTTTTTCTGCAAGCGTCTGGAAAAACGAGCGCGTCTGATTTCACTCCCTTGGTGACGTGGCAAAGGGATCTCATTATAATATTACCGCCCCTTA